TGTGGCATGGGCGCCCAAAACTGAACGTTGCTGGCGGGGTTAGCGGGAGCTTAACCCACGGGTACGGGGGAGGCGGAGCACGAGGCAGGAGGGGGCCGACGCAACGCGCGCAACAGGACTTCAGCTACCGGGGGCTATGCCACGCTGGATGTCGCAGGTTTGAGGCAGGTTCCGTGGCGGCAGCGGACGCATGGGGACGTGCAGAGTCCGCGACTCCGCGGAGCACTCACCAGCAGCAGCACGGCGAGCAGCAGCATCGAGGCGCCTCTTCCGAGCGCCATGGCGGCAGAAAGCGGCGAGGGCTTCAGGAGGTGGGCAGTGGGGTTCAGTGGCTGGACAGGTTTTGTGTGGCAGCCCCCTGGGTGCGGCTTTTATAGCCGTAAGGGAGTGTGAGACGCGGCTTACTTCCGCCAACTACGCATCCTGCTTGGGGGCTTCCAGAGTTGCCTCGGCGAATCGGCGCTGTGGCGCACGCTGACACTGGCGGGCCGCGCGGCCAGTGTGACATGCGACGCCGCGGCTTCTCCGCGGCCCCAGCAACGCGTGTTGCGGGGCGGCACGCCGGTTCCGGGAGCAAACCTCGTCACACCTGCGTCGCGGCGGCTGCTCGAGAGAATCTGACGTCGGGTGCTGCCGCGGCGATTCGTGAACCCCGGTCAGTTGCCGGTCGCGGACCGTTGGCCGGCCTTGTGCCCGGCAACGCCGCGTGCCGCACGGCTGAAGGTTTGCGTCTGACGTCTGGTGGGATGACGTGATAGCTTTGGGCGACGCGGCGCAATAAGTTGCGCTGGGGAGCGCGACTGTGACGTCCGGCGGCGCCAGAAGTTTGGCCGCAACTCTTTCCCGCATGCTGGACATTGAGTACTTTTAACTCTTCCTGCAGAGCTCAAATGCCATCAGTGATCAGGAGGAGCCCACGGATCCGTCACCACCACCCAAGAGCATCAGGGTCTTCGTTATCACCTTGGCACTTCACCAAATTTCCCAGAAACGCAAGTCCGCCACAGTGGTTCCGGGCACTAGCAGCGGTAAAGATTCTCATCGCCTTCTCGTTTCCTTATACTTATAGGTGATCTTCATCATTGCCTCACGTGCGGCAGTGGGCACACAATTCAACACACGCTGTGTTGCCTTCTATGTTCATGTCTGGTGCGAACGGCACTGTTGTACTGCCACAGCGCTGCTGCCCAATGAGGACGCGTTTTGATTTGCGGACAGGGCACTACGGGAAAAGGGGGGCGTTCATGCAGTTTCCGAGTGGCTCCGACGCGTCTGAGAGCGTCCGGGCGCGTCTGTGCAGTGCACGGACGTGTCTGAGCGGCCACTGAAAAGCCTTCCAAGGCCTCGGATGGTTCCGCGCGTCCCTGGACCCTCCCGAAGTGTCCGAAGGGGCTCGGAAGCGTCCGAAGCCTTGGAAGGCTTTTCAGCAGCCGCTCGGACACGTCCGCGCGCTGTGCAGACGTGTCCAGAGCGTCCTAGGCCTCAAGGGTGATGGGGGTCTGCGCGGACACTCTAATTCCCCCAGTGGCCGCAGGATGCGCAGACAGCTTTTGGAGTGTCCGGGAAGCGCTCAGATGGTGGAACAGCGTACGCGCAACATGCGGATAGTTTTGAGTGTTTCTTGGGAGTCCCATAGCACAAACACTGTGCGTATGTTGAATGTACGACATTCGCTCCATCAAAGTCAAACGGTGCCGTGACCGCCCAACTCAACACAGCGCCCCAGGCACCGCGCAGCAAACCCTGTGCTTGGTTGTCTGCTCAACAGCAAGCACGCGGCATCAGCGTTGGCGAACGGCGCCGTTCGTTGTGCCGGCACAAAGCACACGCAGGTGATCGACACGGAGGCTGGCGAGGTGGGCTGGCAGATGCACGTGATGATCTTTGAAATTGGGAGGGTAGAGCAGCCGAGGCAAAAGAAGGTGCGGAGATAGGCAGAGGGGGCCGGAGGGGCGGATGCTTCAGCACAGGCACCCAGCATGCTTGGGGCATTGCTTTGATGTGTCTTATGTGAGGTGGATGCTGATCTTCTGATTGCTTTTGCCCCAAACTGGCCGACGCGAGCGCCCAAATACGTGGGCTTAACCACCATGACAAGGCGTCTGCCTGTGACCTTTGTACCCTTTCAAGCTTCAACTAGTAGGCCTCGCTTGGAATCAAGGCCATTCTAGGGGCCTACTGCTCCCCGCCGCGAGAATTGCTGGATGGGATCGCAAGGTGGAAATTGGGGATCCTCGCCGAATCCACCATTTTATCCCTTGTAGCGCTTGCAGTGGGACCAGGGACAGCCAGCCATTCTAGCTGGCTCGTTCGACCAGCCTCGCCATGCCCCTTCGCTTTACACAACCCCAAACCCTCCTTGCCAATCCTGCTAAAGACAATGCGAAGGGCGAATGGGACCCCAACGGCTCCAGGGCTGTGCACAATGACACACGTCAGCGCGTCATGTGAGTGGTGGCCATGTTGCGCATAGACTCGCCCCCGCCAAACTGCCCCAATGCGCCTACGCCAACGCCATGCTGCGAAAGATGACCCCATCCCGCCCACCTCCAACAGCAAAAGGAGGAGAGAGTCGCCACGCCCAGCACCCCACGCACAGGTCGGGGGTTTGGAAGCACCGGGGTGAACAAGCCATGCCAAGATTGGGGTGGATGACCACACTCGACTCGCGGAGGGCGGCCCGTGGAGGACGCTTCTTGGCGATGGAGCAAACGGTTTCCGAGGGGCTCACACTTTAAGCATGCTTTGTGTGCAGGCCGCCCAAATGCTCCGATTTCCCACAATTGTGGAGCCAAATTGATGTGGAACCAAGAGTGTCAGTGACAAAACCTGACTTTTGTGTGCTGTGTGTGCAGGAGCGAGAATCGCCAGAGATGAAGGAACCAGGCGGTAAGCAACTCACAGGTTTCTGTGTGCTGTGTGCACAGGCCACCCAGGAGCCAGCTGGAGAAGAACTGACATTTCAGTGTGCCGTGCGTGCGGGCTGCCCCAGCTCTGCCATCGTCAATGATGGAGGAGGCTGGGGGCTTGAAAAACTGATGGCTTCTGTTTGCTTTGCGCGTAGGCTCTTCAAGTGCCGCGATCTTCAGAGGCGGAAGATCGCCGACCCTCGCCTTACAGTGCGTGCCACCACTACCAAACAGAACAAAATGGTGGGGGGGCACTTGCACCTCCACACCCTAAACGGTCGCCTGGGGGACCACTCAAACCCACAATCCAACACGCAATCCACAGGGCACGTCACTGACATGCCGCCACACAGCAAACCAATGCCGGCATCGCTATGCAAAACGGCGACGCTTGAGGGACAACTGGCAACCCCCCGCCCCCCCCCCCAAAAAAAAAACAATCAAATCCAACACGGCACCGTCCGCGCACTGGCCGCGCACACTTCGACGGCGTCGGCGTGCTCCCCGGACGGCGTCCGTGCGCACTGTGGACGATAGGAATTGTCCAAAAGTGTCCGAGCACATAGGAAAAGCGTCCGATGCGTCCGAGTGATGCACGGACGGAAAAAGTGTCCGCGTTTTCCCGGATTCTACGCGCTCGGACGCAGCGGACGCGCTTAGACGCTTTTGTCTCAGCGCTCGGAAGTTCTGCATAATGCGCGGACGCTCTGGGCGTTTTTCTTAGTGCCTCGGACATTGCCAATAGCGCGCTCAGACGCGCTCGGATGCGCTCGGACACGATCGGAGATTCTGAGGCGCTCGGAAACTGCGTCGACGCCCCCTTTCCCCGTAGTTGGAGCAAATCATCCTGAAGCGCAACCACAAAAGTGTGACCAGACTTGTTGTTTACACTCAAAATGCCCAAATTACTTTTCTTGCATGTTACGCTGAGGTGAAGCACATTGGAGGATTTGTGGGATGGCAGCCGGACGCGCTCGATCAAGCCTGTCGCGACTGTGGCGAACGACTATCAGCTTGACGGCCACGTTGTCGCCCTTTGCGGGCGTGAGGCGAAGGCTGTGCTGTGGTCGCTCGGGTTCGAGCAGGGAAGACGACTCCTCCTTGCGAGGCGGTGGCGATATGCCAATTCAGTGACAACGTGTGAAATGGCTGCATAGATCCCTCGCAAGCATGCATAATATGCCCGTAATTATGGTGCTGTGAAGGTTGACAAAAGGCCTCACTACACTACCAACCGAGACAGTTACAAATTCAATGAGCTGTCTAAATGTCGCGCTCAAATCAAGTGGTTGTGCCCGGAATCTCATTTGACCGTTTCACCAGAGCCTTGGCATTTAATCGACAATATGTTGCGAGTTTTTGTTGATGACCGTTCCTTTACCCCTTTCCCAACCACATCCACTAATTGGGTAGAAATTCTACGACCCACATATACGACCTTCAACCCATCCTCTAAATCTCGCTATCCACCCCAGCTGTCCTTGCTTGCACATTCTATGTTAACAATTAGTACATTGTCCTACAACGGTCCCATAGTGCCTTCCCCATTGACCCCCATCTTCCCCATCTTGATGTAGCTGTTGGTAAAATCCCTGTACCAAAGCCCGTTAGAAAGCCTGTAGGACACCACCAATGCCGCTGTGTCCACGTGATCAAGGAGGGAAGAATCGGAACAGAAGTTGTTCCCGTTCACGTTCTTCATGCAGCCATCCTTGACAAGCTCGCGATAGTAGACGTTGTCGAAGTTATCCGGGGTGCCGTCCATTGGGCCCAATTTTGGGTGCGTTCGGGAGACGCCTATGCTGTGGGCGCCGCTGAGAGCCACCAAGTCCTGTATCGATGGCAAATACAATGGTTCGGGTTTGAATTTAAAACCGCGGCGTGAGGCTTTGCTTTCAAGAGCGGAACCATAGCGTACAATGGAGATATTTCTCCACACGGGTATTAATTTCTTTGGATTGAAATAAATGGAACAGTCTATTAGGTTTGTGCAAATTTTCCACTCGGTGCTGGCGCGTGATTGGCGCTGGTGACGCGTCTCCATGGAGACACCCTCGTTGGATCCACGCGCGCATGGAGGTTCATTGTCACCTTTAAACTGTATCCATTGGCCCTGAAAATCCTTTTCAAGTCCTCGATGTTCGTGCTCGTTCCAGGCAACGCGTGCGTCGTGCTGAGATCCGGCCCAGTGGCGTCGCGCCTCCCAATCGGCACAGTGAAGCGCGGTAGACCAGTGAAGAAACAAGCCTCAGCACCCGCTATCTGTTTGAACAAAGAGCAACCACAAAATCATTGCTAGTAGTTGGGTTAGCGCGGCGCAAGGACAGGGCTTTACTCCACAAAGTGTACTGCAAGCAGCGGCCAACCGTTGGATGCTGTATTGCTTCCACAGCATTTGCATGATCTCCTCCGGGCTGTAAGCCATTGGATTTGCGTTTCCAAATCAGCGCTGTTTCTTTCAGACGAGCTGGGCACTTGAGATGATGCATTTGACGAAGCTCATTCAACTAAATGAATGAAATTCAATGGTTCGATTTGGCAGTACCGGCAGCGATGACACCCAATGAAGTCCACCCGCAACTTGCCCATTTTGCATATTTATGAGTCTCCAGAATTTTCACTGCACTACTGTGGCATGTGCACAAGTATGGAAGTAATACAATAAAGCAAAATAGAGTTACGAAATATTGCAGGAACGCGTACAGACCCTGTTTCCTCATTTAAAGCGGGTCAAAGTGCAGTCCAGAACGCAATCGTCCAACTGCGTGCCCGCCCCGCCCATGGAGCCACACCACAATGCCTGCCCGTTCCACCTGGGTTCTTTCCTCGTCTCTTCAATTACTTGCACAACGCTATCGCTTCTCCAATTTTCCTGGTCGCAAGCACACCTGGATCAGATCGGCGAAGGTGACGCCGCAGCCCGCCGCCTTGAGCGCCTCCCACTCCTCCACCAGCGCCAGCACGCCGTCCCTCATGCCCGCGTTCGCTGGCTGGTCTACCTCCTCCGGGAATCTCAGGCTCCCGTTGGCACCGCCCCGCCCGCTGTCGCAGTCCCAGGTACCGGCGTCGTGGAAAGCCATCCGTAGGAGGGTGCCCTCGAAGCGGAAGAACGCATTGGCGGGGTCTCGTGGGTTGGCAGGGTCAGCCAGCTCGGCGGTGCGCTTTGTGGCGAGGATCTTTTGTATTGCGTCGGAGGCGCATCCGTGGATCGCCTGCTGGGCACTGCGGTCGCCGTACATGGCGGGCTCCAGCCTGCGCTGCGTGCACCTCGCGCCTCTGTCGGGAATGCCAACGCTGCTGTCTGGACTGGGCATACCTTTGCCGTCGAGAGTTGGCAAACCGTCGTCGTCGGGAATGGCCCCACCGTTGCCATCGAGATTGGCCCCGCCTCTGTCGAGATTGACAGCGCGGCGGTCAAGAATGGCCGCGCGGCTTTCGAGGATGGCCACGCCTCGGTTGATGATCGCCGCGCCTTCGTTGCCGAAAATGGGCGCACCGTTGTCAAGGTTAGATGCACCAGTGTCGAAAAGGGCGCACGTCCGGGGAAGCGCCTGCGCGATTCGAGGGAAAAGAGTCAGTGGCAGTGCCTTGGGGGCAGCTTATCAGTGCATATGGGAACATATAAAGGGAGCTTGCTGTGGAGCCTTTGCCAGCGGAGGACGTCAACGATCCCTCCCACGAATTCGTGAGGGAAAGGGAAGGGGAGAAGAAGTTCCCGGAGTGCGGTGGGGTTCGAAACGGCGAGGCAGGATGTCACTGCTCCCTGTGCCGGTGGTCCCTACAAACGGTACGACAGAGCACGAAGATTGACGCGTCCCGGGTCCAAGAGTCCTCCCGCCTCGACCACCAGTTCATTGGGCACCGTAGCGTCGATCAGGCACCCGCTGCAGGGGCAGGCGCCCCAAGAAGCGGTGTGCCTGGGACCCGCTGCCCTTCCGTCCGGACGGGACTGGTGCAGAATGACCGAAGGACCCTGGCTAGACGCTCTGGTTCTCGGATGCGGCTGGCGAGGGCGTTCACATGCACATGGACACTGACTTGCACGTGCATGTGTTTGGCGCAGGGCTTACCCGCCTCCCCGGAGCACTCACCAGCAAAAATGCGGCGAGGAGCGGCGTCAAGGTGCCTCGTCCGTTCGCCATTCCCGCAGAACTTGGAGTGGGCGTCGTTCACGCGAGTGAACGGGTGCTGGCGGCAAGAACACGGCATCGGCGCCTTGGGCACCTTGGACAACATCGACACCGTTTTCTTACCTGTTTGGCCGATGAAACCGCAGGCTGGTACACCGGGCGCGACAACAGACAAGCGGCGGTGCAGCCTCAGAAATACGGTTGTTCAGCATTGATCATCGTATCCAACCCGCAGGACACGCAAAGAGGGCGTAATCACATTATGAAGTAACACCTCGCCAGTCCACGTTTTGTTTCCCATGACCGCCGCCTGGCACCCTTGTCGACGTTCCCTCGGTCCGCCCCCAGAGCACCGTTGGCAACAGCAGCGGCCCTGGCGATACGAAGGTTCGAGAATCGCCTCGGGCAGCATCGTTGAAAGCTGAGATTCGCATGTTTTCTGGCTGCACCGCCACTACGTATTGGTGCGCTCCATCACTTTCGCTGCTCAAGTTGTGCGCAACTCACCAGGTACAGTCACACTATTACACTAGTCAGGCGTTTGGGGTGGGAGACTCAATTAACTATCAATCAGTTGATTTAGACCCCCGTGCTGTTGAGCCGCTTGCTAAAACATGTTTTGCTATGAAGGCGTTGGAGCTGCGTGTTGGGATACCTAGCCCTACGGCATTGCGACACTTCGCTGGTACCAAAACTGCTTTGCAAATTGATGGTTTTCTTAAGCCATGCCTTTGCAAGCTGTTTTTGCTTGTGCTACCCTTGCACAGGTTGCATTGGGACAATAGTATTTTGGTGGGTTGAGGCATGACGGTGGAGTGACACAAAAATGACATGGGTTCTTGCTGGCTGTGCACTTCATGCTACAAAGGTAGTAGCACAAAATGCTGCCCCGCGTTCTCCACCTTTGGTATCGCCTGGACGAAAGATCTTTCGTCAGGGAGACAGTACCCAATACTCTTAAGAGCTCAGTCCCTATTGGGTACTGTCTCCCTGACGCATGTTGACAACTGCCGGCATGGCAGTGAAAGTCATGGCATGGCTGTGATTCCTGGAGAGCTATCACATACTCATCTTGACGACATTGCTGACGGGCGAGCAGGGTTTGGGAAGCCTTGATTGGATTGTTCGAACCGCTTGATTGGCTTGGTCACTGCTGCCGCACAGGTCAACATTCACTATTATCGTACTACGAGAATTCAGGGGGCCAAGTTAGTTTGTACGTGGCGAGCTGGCCCAGCCAGCAGTAACATCGAGGCCCCTCTTCCGTTCTCTATGTCAGCAGGACGCGGAGGGGGCGTAGGGCAGAGCGAACAAAGTACGGGGAGACTTGCAGATGGCGGAAATGCACCGTCGATTTGGACCCCAGACGCCGTTTTAAAGCCGTTGGGGAGTGTGAGACGCGGCTGCGCAGTCAGATGCACTGGAATGGGTGAAAAACGGACTTTTGTTCCATGCTGTAGGGTCCCTTGCAGAAGCGAGGGGGGCACTGTGTTGCGGATATTGAAGATGGCAGAGGACTAGTCTAGTTCTTTAAGGAGTAAACGCGTTCTATTTGATGCTATTTATGAGTAAAACAGCTTTTAATTATTTGGCACGTTAATATAGCCGTCAGAATGGGTGAAAATGGGCCCTGTGTACTTAAGGGTAGCACATACAGACTCGAAAAATCCGGGCAGTGGCAGCTAGAAGCGCTGAGGTATGCATAAAACGATCTCTTGCTCTTCGGCGTCGTTGCCCTTGCTGAGGGCGAGGTGTGAGCTATGTTGCTGGTGCTGGAGAGACTGGAGGATTGATCGTTGATTGGGGGCATCATCCTGTAATGTAAGCCTAACTACTAGCCGTAAATATGTGTAAATATGGCCGTCTCTCTATTTACGCGTCTCCACGCATAAAAAGGTGAACGTAAAAATGGTGCCATAAACTTAAATAACAAGTCTGCAGAAGACTGATCATTGTACACAACTTTCATCGTGTAACCTGGGTGTTCCAGCGAGCTGCAAAAACGTAAAAATAGCCGCAAAACAGCCCCTTTGGCAAATTTACGGTTTTATGCATAAAAACGTACCCGTAGAAACATAAACGCGAAAACATAAACGTAAACATAAATACAAAGCCTGGCCAGGAAGGGATCACGAAGGGTACCAGGGACCAACGAACCTCGAATCTAAGCCCCTTACTCCCGGAAACCGCTTTTGCGACCTTCCTGAGCTTCACGACTTCATGGCCCTCCTGACCTGACTGTCTTTCAGGACTCCGTGCCTGTTGTGAAGGTTATCAGACAATTGTGTGTGGTGCGGGCCTGGTACATTGTTCCAGGCAGGCAGCACTAGCTGCGCGGGCTGTCAGTCAGTGTGGCATGTGATGCGGTCGGCCTCCCTGCGCCCCCAGCTCGACGGCTGCAGGACAGCAGAACGGTCAGGGGTCGGACATGATCACGTTGGCGGCGCGGAGCTTACAGGTGTGACTCCGACAGCAACGTTGCCCCTGCCACTCGATGGCTGTATCCGGTCGCAAGCGTTTGGTGCGGTTGGATGCTTGAAAGCCGCCGACCTCGGTACAGCGCGGCTTTATCGACTTTAAACATGGCGCGGCGCAGTGGCAGCTTCCGATATCGCCGCCGCGTGAATCCTGGCGCTCAAAGTGTAACTTGGATGCGCAGGCGCCCCGCCGACGGAACGTTCCGTGCCGCCGCTAGGCGACCGGGGTAGTGCGTGAGTGTACCAAGCGGCGCTGCCTGTGTTGAAAAAGGGATGGGCCTCGGGCACACGCTGGGGAACTAGTGGTCCGTGCGGAAGGCCACGCCTTCGAAGGACCCCGGCCTCTCCCCCCAGAGCCTCTTTCAAACTTCTCTTCAACAGCACGCGGTACCAACGTCGCCATGCACCGCTCAGTGAACGCAATTATGCCCGCTTTTCCGTCCCGGGCTCGGCGCCTTGCCTTCTCGCCTTCAAGGCGGACTTCCGGGTGCGGCATTCCCAATCGCGCGTTGCGGCGGGGACGGGGCTTGTCGTTAACGCCGCGTGTGGTCCAGGAGCGCTCTGGGAAAGGGCGTGCGGTGGCGGTGCCTTCATGGCCAACCCGACCGTGTAGGGTTGGGACATCAGGATCTACCGCCCGTGAGCATCAACCGCGTCGAGAGCCGCAGCCCGTACTGTGGGGAGCGCGGCGTCCAGCCGGGCGGTCCCGGCGCCGGGCTCCAGACGGATCGGGCGATCGTGCGGCGTTCCGATCGGCCACGGGATCGTTGGCTGCTGGCGTGCATAGGGCCCGCGGCCCAGCTGTGCGGATCGGCCGCCTGCGGGAGCGATCTGCAGATGGAGGTGCTGGAGGGCGAGGGGATGGGATCTCTCGCCGGGGAGGCAGCCCACCGCGGTTTTTGCACGGTGGTTGTGCATTCTGTCTACCGCGGCTGTGACAAGTTGGCGATGCGCAGAGCTGTTGCAAGAAGTGCGAGGGGTGGTCGAAGGGCGGCGACTGCTTCAGCTGAACGTGGGAAGCGGGGTCTGGCACGTGGACTTTGAGGAATGAGACATTGGATGGTTTCTGCCACGCAAGATCGATTGGTAGAGCAATCTCTGGAGATGTCATGCTGGGTTGAGTGCCTGAAGTGGGCTGAGTGCCTGGAAGATCACTGGATCGGGGTGCTGCTGGTGTTGAACGGGAAATGTGGATGGGCGGTTGCAATCGCCGCAAATGAGCATCTGCTAAAGGTGCGGAGCTCGAGACTGCGTTGCCAATTGGGGTCATTTGCAGCGAAGATCATCTGTGTGCTGTGCAGCCAGCAAAACTGCTTCCAGCTTAGAGTTTACAGGACAGCTGTGATCTGTGGCCCATGAAACATCTTTGGACATTTCCAGCTCTTCCACTACTGTGTTCATCTACACAGCATGTGTAAGTACTGTGAATTACAGTATGTCCTGCAATGGATTATCCTATGAATCATGGGAATGGTGAGGAGTGAGTGACACATCAGAAATAGACATATTGGACACAAGCTTTGGGAGATCCCAGTTTAGTTCTGAAATTGCTTGAAATGTGCAATGGTCAATGTTACAAGGATGGGTTGGGAATCCCATGCTGCCAGCTCCAATTCAAACCAGATGCATTTT